TTGCATGCAGCAAAGCTTTGAGAACTCCTTAGCTTCCCAGTCCTTCTATTTTTAGATGCAAGCCCCCTCCCCCCCAGCTTTTTCCCCTTAGACTCCAGTTGTCTCTTGTCCTTGCAGTTATCAGCAAGCTCAGCCCCAGCTATTTTTGGCACCAGAACACACGGTTTAAGTCTCCCCCCCCCCCCTTCCCCCAGGAGCAAAAGAGGTGCCTGTGATAGCCCATGCGGAATTTAATTTGTCCTCCCCGTTAGGTCAGTAATGCCATTGGCAGTGCATACTTCCCACTGCATTACAATTCCCAGCAGAGCGGAGGAGGGTTAAACGGCATCATTTTGGGCTCCCTCTTTTATTCCCACACCACTGGAACGTATTAAAGCACATCCAGAAGGAAACAGAAGCTTTGATGAGCAAGGAGCTAGCGTGCCTAAAACCAGCCAGGAAAACAAGGGCTTCCGGGAACAGGAAGGCAGGAATAGTTTGGATGTCATGGCACCAGCTGTAAGTCAAGAACTGGGCTACCAGAGCTGGGGAAGCTCTGATTCCTACAGCAAACAGAAAACTGGCACAGTGAGAAACCAACAGAGAGCAGGGCAGGGTGGGGGCAGTCTCAGGAGCTGCCACATGGCACGAAAATGCTTTCTGCCATCAGGGAGCATGTTTTGTGCTGTGCCTCCATGCAGCAGATACATCTGTAATGTTTATCTCCGTAGAAGGAGTGCAAATATTAGCATTGGGGTGGCTGAGGAATGACTCTGTGGCCACTGGTACAAAGAGCAGTTGCAGAGGCTCCCTCCCTCATCAAAGAGTATCTCCTGTTCTCACCCACACACCCTCCAGGATTTTGGAGAGACACCTTTAGGAATGGTTGGGATGACCTGGATGGAGATGACCTGGGGTGAGGAGTGTGTGTGTCCACGATTAGGCACAACCCTAGAAACACCCTGTGTTATTTAGCAGGGGAAGTGGTGTTTAGGAGGAGCACACAGGCAGGGGCAGCAAGGAGGAGTCAGGGCACAAACAAGTTTATGGAGAGTGAAGTCAGAGCCGCTGCCATCCCACGCAGCAGCCACCGCCACCACTGCTCCTCCAAGGGGGAGGAGGAGCGAGCAGCCCCACATGTGTGTAAGCCCAGCTGGCAAGCAGAGGGCCTTGCTCAGCTGATGGGGAGAAGAGGACAGCAGCAAGGACAGCTTCTTTACTCTCTATATGATAATTTGATTTTGGTCTCACATAGCAGGTGGGACAAGTGACCCCAGGGCTGTTTTCACCAGGCATAACTGAGCAAGCCCATATAGATGTGAATGCAGGGAGGAAATATTGCTGTAGGAAGATTGCACCCCTGCTCCCCTGGTGGTAGTGATGAGAGAGATGGATGCTGCTGTGTTTTATGGAGGTGTAATGCACCTGTGCAAATGTTTGTTATGGAGCCCAAACAGAAAGGCACCCAGACTCTGTGAAGTAGTGATTAAAATACCATCCTGTCAGATGCTGGAAACACCAAGTAGGACAGCATCAGCCCCTGCTGCGCTGCACAGATAGTGTCTGCGCTGAGGTGCACCAGCATCATGGGTTTTGTAGGATTTTCTTGGAAGTAAACAACTCTATTTGTCATTTCTGCTGTCAGTCAAAAGGATGGTCACATAAGAATATGCTGCTTCACTCTGAGGTAGACAGGGATGTGGTGCACCATCACCAGGTGCCAAGTGGAAGCAAGCTGCAGGCTCCCAGTTAGGTTCAGCTGGCTCAGTTTATCTGGCCAAGTGCAGCACAGGCCTGCACCTATTCACATCAGCTCGTACCACCAGGGTACTTCACTTCAGAAGAGCTTCCAATATACCCAGTCACTGTCTTTCTTCATTCCTGTATCTCTCTCTTCTTTATAATAACCAGGCAGCCTTTATACTGCAGCTGAAGTCAACATTGTTATATTTATGCACAGATTTTTACCATCTTCTTTTCTTTCCTTTAAAGGAAAGATGTCAGCACCTTCCATGTCATCGTGCATTATATAGAGTTGACTTTAAGCAACACTGGAACACAGCAGTTAATCTTGGTTATTGGACAGGTATGAATATCCTCTAGAGGCAATGGCCTCTGATGCCTATGCCACCTTTCTTTAATATTAGTTTTGTTCTTGTTCCTACATTTGTTTTGTTGCTTTAACACTTGTTTAAAAAAAAAAAACCAAACCTGTTACTGACACCAGCCATGCTGTCACTATGTCTGGCTGCTTCTTCTGCAGTTGCCATTCTTCAGAGGCTCCCCTTGTGAAACAGGACAAACCCACCTACCTGAGCCATTAGGTTCTTAACTGCAACTGCTGAAACTTTTTCTCTCAAGATAACGCAAGGTTACAGCCATCATTTAAGTTTCAACTATTCCATACATTGGTTTTGCTTTATAATTGGAGATTTTCACTACATCCTGGGACATTTGCCAGACCCTTCCGTTATCTTTCAACAATGTTAGTAATTAAAGATGCTGGCTCTTTGCATTATAGCCTTTTCTTGTTCTGTAGTGTTTCTAGAGCCCCTCTGTTTCTCCCATTCCTGTGGTTAGCCCCTGCAGCAGGACTGCATGCATCAGCTATCACCTCTCCAGGGGCTTTGACTACCACCCCTCTAATATTTAACTCTTCCATCTGTTCATTGTCCCTGTAAGCAACTTTTAATAATTTCATTGTCTTTCTGCCTTCACCTACTCCATGAGTGATGGATGTAATTTTCTTTCTTAGAGAGTTAAGATTCACACCTTCAACCTCCCAGAGTTACGGCTTTCAACATAGCTGGGAGTTTGGATCTCTTACTCTTCTTGCTAGGTGAAGAAAGCCTTTGGCAATTGCTTATTTCCTATGTAACTACTTTTCCAACTTCCAGGCAGCAGATCATAGAGGTGTTGACCTTGGCCTATTTTCTTGGGCCTTTGTCTGCTCTGTGATGGACACAGTTTGCTGGCTCAGTGGTTGGGGCATTCTGAATATGTTCCTGAAGTGAGTAATCACAGTGTGATCTTCAATTGTAACAATTTGGGTACCATCACAAAGGATGAATTCCCCCATCCTCTCACACAGGGGTTCCCCTGGCCCAGGGGAGCTGCTGAGTGGAAAGGATTTCAGGATGCAGGAGACACGGTGGTGGCACCATCACCAGGTGCCCAGTGGAAGCCACCTATGGGCTCCTCAGTCAGGACTGGCCAGCTAAATTTATCCTGCAGCCAGGTGATACGTGCAGCACAACACAGTCCTGCCCCTACCTCCTCAGATCAACTGTTAGATGAATAACGCTTCTGTGAGGACATCCCAATTCATAACTGCTCCCACTCTTTCTCTCCTATTATCTCACAACAGGGAAGGTAAGTAGAGGTCAGCAGATTGAGTGATAGGGACTTGGATTATCCCCTTCCCTGCCCCCAGCTGCTCCCCCTCCTCTCCCGGCTGTGCTGTGGCAGAGGGCACACGCTCCAAACACAGCGCATGAGCCCAGCCCCAGCGAGAACGCCTCGCAGCTGTGTCAATATTTGAAAACTGCATGAGTTCGGATAGGCACTAAAGGGAGAGTAGTAGGAAGCACTGCGGCTTCAAAAACAGTTCCCCCTCTACGCACTCAGGGCAAAGACTGAGCACCTCTGCTCCCCAGCTTTAAAGAAAACAGCTAAAAACAAGGACACCCAAAGGTTTTCAGATTGTCACACTACTGCGTTCATAGCACCCAAAAGGGAACTGTGCTACTGATTATTCCCTGGTGACATTATACTCTCAGTGGGCATGAAAACCTCAGAGAATTTAAACCCCTAAACAAAACTTTTTTTTGGGAAATACAGACGTTGGAGAGGGGTGAGATGGAGACCAAGAACAGCTGAAACTGAGGATGCAGCAAATGAAAGTAGTGTTTGTATAACATGTGAAAAGGGAGCGCAAGGTGGACAAGACCTCTCTTCGGGCTGGTATTGTTGATATCTTCCGGTGTTCACATGGCACTGGCAACTGTGCACTGCCCTCCTGAAATGGGACTGATTTCCTTCAGTGGGCCTCAGTTGGCAAACGAGCATTAAAGATGGAGCAGTGGAAACACTGGGGTGTAGCTGTGGTGGTGCTGTCTTCTTGCTGCAGGAACAGGAAAGAACTAGAAAAAAGGAAGCAAGGACCTGAGAAAAAGAACAAGGGAAATGGATTAATGAACCTGACTTGAATGTGGAGGAGAAAGGCAAAAACTTTGGAGCACAGCGAGATGAACTCCTTACCTGGAGAGGTGTGGAGCCTCTTCTCTGAGGACAGTGAAAACTGCACTGCACGATGCAATTTGCTCAGTGAGACACAAAGCTGTCCTTGCGTGTCCTCGGACAGACCATCCAGTCACCACTGACAGCAAGCAGCTGTGACAACTAGTGACAGTGAAGGAGGAACACAGCCCTAGCTCCAAGGCAGGGCTTTGCTTCTGCTAACTGTGAAAAATGCTCTTCAAAAACCCACAACAGAGACACCTTGTAAACACTTGGGAAGCCGAAACCGCTTCCCAGCAACACCTTCAAATGATCACAAACGTTGCTGAACTCCAAGAGCAAAAGCCCAGGAAAGTGCTTGGGTAGCAACAATTAGAGAAAGAAAAACATAAAAGGAAGGCGTTGTTCAAAGCTGCTGCTTTGAGACTTTTCCTGCCTTCCCCACAGCGCACTGTAACCCACTGCCAGTGTAACGGGCAGAGCAGAAGCACTGCTCAGTAACACGGTAGGAGTCTTCTCTAAGAAGTTATTCCCATCAACAGCCAATGCCTTCCCTGCACCAGGCCCAGCATGTGGCACGCGTAGGGTCACAGCTTCAAAGAGGCAGCTACCCAAAAGACCCAGGTCTACACAAGCAGTTACCTCCAAGACTGCTCATTATGCCTGGGGCTGGGCCACAGGGCCTCGCTGCCACAGACAGACAAGAGCACTAGGTTTTTTGTTGGGTTTTTTTTGCCCCATTTTAATAAGTACAGAAGACCAGCCAGGGCAGGCTGGGATAGTCAGGTTTCAGTCTCAACCTCCACCACTTCTGCCACTGCTCCAAAGCCCACCCCCTCCTGGATGATGACCATGTCACTCACTGAGCCCTCATCCCGCACTATAACGTACTTGTTTTCATGCTCGGAGACAGTAATTTTAATGATGTCCTTTGCTGATGGCAAATGCCCAGTGGGCCCCCCATGTGCCCCAGGATCTGGGGGGTTGCCTTGAGACTGGCAAGCAGCAATGCAGGGACTGCTGGCTGTGCTCAGCAGCTCGACCTCATTTGCTGGCCCCGGCACCTCCACCATCAGCAAGGTGGGCTCTGCCACAACCTCCTCCTGGTGGTAATTCCTCTGAGGCCTTTTCCTTGCTACCCGGGGTAGGTCCACACCAAGAGAGGCCACTGCAGCGGCGAGTTCCTCAGGGTCCTTTTCTGCCTTGTGGGCGAGCACGTGGCGCGCAAGGCTCTGGGGAAGGGTGTAGCCCATGCCACAGAGCTCACATTTATAGGGCTTGTCAGCCAGGTGGGATTTCTGGTGGCGCCGCAGCTTCGTGGCCAGGGTGTAGGACTTGCCGCACTGCTCGCAGCAGAAAGGGCGCTCGCCTGTGTGCAAGCGCTCATGGGCGCGCAGCGTGTGGGGGTCCCGCAGCGCCTTGCCACAGACAGTGCACAGGTGGGCCTCACCCGTGTGGGAGATGAGATGTCTCCGTAGCTCTGGCAGCTTGGGGAAGGCATCACCGCAGAAGTGGCACTTGTAGGGCTTCTCCCCTGTGTGCAGTCGGAGGTGCTCGCGCAGGTTGCTCTGCTGTCGGAAGTCCTTGCCGCAGTAGGGACAGGCGTAAGGGCGCTCACCCGTGTGCAGGCGCATATGGTTGCGCAAGGAGCCAGGGTTGGCCAGGTAGCGTCCACATACGGCACACTGACACCCCTTGGGACCAGCTGGGCCAGTCCCAGCGGCCAGGTGGATCTTCCTGTGAATGCGGAGAGAGGGCCAGCGTGCAAAGGCCTTGCCACACTGCTCACAGGAGAAGGGGCGCTGGCCAGTGTGCAGGACCTGGTGCTCCTGCAGGTCTCGCTTGGTGCGGTAAGCCTTGTTGCACTGGGTACACTGGAAAGGCCACACACCCCGGTGGGCCAACACGTGGGCCTTGAAGCTTTCCTCTGAACTGTAACTCTTGCCACACTCTGTGCACAGGAAGGGCTTGTGGCCAGCATGGACAAAGCGGTGCTTCTTGAGGTGGCAGAGCTGCAGGAAGGTTTTACCACACTCCCCACAGTGGTACCTGCGCTTGATCGCCTCCTTCTGGGACAGAGCTTTCGGTGGGGGGCTTGGGCTAGTAAAATGTTCCTCCACCAGCTCCGTATAGTCCTCCTGCCCCTGAGGCCTATCCAGTGGGTCCTTTTCCCCATGCTCTGGGGATACCAGTTTGGAGTCTTTGGAAGCTTTGCTCTCTTTCTTACAAGTCTGTACACTCTCTCCTTCAGAAGGACCGGGCTTCTGGGATTCCTGCCCAGCTGTCCTGCCACCACAGTCCTGCAGGCACGTCTGGAGCTGGCTGGCCACAGCATGCACCTTGCATGGCTTGCCAACCAAGTGAGCACTGAGTCGAACCATGCTTGAGGGTGACAACAGATCCAGGTCTCCTGGACATGCCTCTTTATGCCCAGTCTCCACTTTTTCTGCTGCAGATCCGAGATCCACACCCTCATCCAATTCTTCCTTGTATCTACCATCGACCTTAATGGTTGAGATGGTATTGAGGTGCTGATTCTCAACCCTTGGCACCTTGGCTTGCCGTGGTTCCTGTTTGGAGCTTGTGCTTTCCTGTTCTTGCAGCCTGTGAAAATGTTTGGCGGCTGGCCTGCTGACCTCAGCAGGGACATCAAGGACTGTCGTTTCATCCGCTACCACCTTGGAGACATGGGGATCCCCTGCACAAACACAAAAGCATGGCAGGTGAATTAACGCTGGCTGTTGTTATATGGCACGATTGCTGCTGGATCAGAGGAACATGAACCTCAGAAACAGTTACTCTGCTATCCAGTAATCCTGGTGCTCTAGCATGAAAACCATTACTTTTATGACCTTTTTGCTTTTAAACTGGGGAAATTAGGGGGAAATCTCAGCTCTCTCACCACAGACAGCAGTACCCGTGCAGCATTTCTAGTATTAAACAGGCAGTGGAAATATGAGGCCGGTGC